ACCGTCGGCTCGTCATGGGGTGTTGACTCTCCGCATTCCTTCCCCGCCCGCTGCCGCTGCTCATTAAGCGGGGCTGACACGCTGCTGTCCCCACTCCGGGGCCACTGTGCTGGGCTCCAGCTGCCGATAACTTCAGGGACTTTGAGGAGCTGGGAGAGGCCACCCTGGGTGACTGGCACCGCTCGGGAAGAGGGTTGTGAATTAACACCGGTCCTGGACTGAGGATAAAAGCATCAGAGTCTGCCCAGGTCTCAGCCTACATCAGCTGTCCCCAGGTAGCTCCAGGACCCACCCTGAGCCCAGCAGCACCATGGCGTTGGCGTGGCCCTGCTGGGTCCTCCTGCTTCTCCTGCCGGCCCCAGCCCACACTGGGGGGCCCGGCCCGGTCCTTGTCAACCGCCCCTTCGTCACCGTCTGGAACATCCCCACCGAGCGCTGTGCCACGAAGTACAATGTCACCCTCAACCTGGAGGTCTTCGATGTGTTGGCCAATGACCAGCAGTCCTTCGCTGGGCAGGACATCACCCTCTTCTACAGCGATGAGCTGGGTCTCTTCCCCTACTACACATCTGAGGGGCTGCCAGTGAATGGGGGGCTCCCCCAAAATGCCAGCCTGGAGACCCACCTCCACAAAGCCACCCAGGACATCAAGGTGACCCTGCCCAGCCCTGCCTACAGTGGGCTGGCTGTCATTGACTGGGAGAACAACTGGGACACCATGCAGATCTACCAGCAGAAATCTGAGGAGCTGGTGCAGCAGCAGCACCCAGAATGGCCCCCCAAGAAGGTGAATGAGACAGCTAAGCTGCAGTTTGAGGAGAGTGCCTGCAATTTCATGAACAAGACCCTGTGGCTGGGCAAGAGCCTCCGTTCCAATGCCTACTGGGGTTTCTATGGCTTCCCCAGCTGCTACAACAATGACTTTGATAGCCAGTCCTACAATGGGACATGCCCAGAGGTGGAGCAGCAGAGAAACAAGAATCTGTCCTGGCTCTGGAGCAGCAGCCAGGCACTCTACCCCAGCATCTACCTGCCCTCCCGCCTCAATGGCACCAACAAGGTGCTCGCCTACGTCCGGCACCGCGTGGCTGAGGCTTTTGCTGTTCAGCATGGCATCCTTGACAATGGCATCTCTGTCCTGCCCTACTCCCAAATTGCCTTCGAGCGCACTGTTGACTTCCTCTCCCAGGTGATAGGGATGTGGGGACGGTGGGCGCCTCTTGGGCTGATGGGTTGGCATTGGGGAATCTTTAGATCTGCTGAGGCTTTTCAGGGGCTTTAGGCACCATCGACTTCTCCTCTCCCCTTGTGTGCAGGAGGACCTGATGAACACCATCGGGGAGAGCGCAGCTCAGGGTGCTGCTGGCATCATCCTCTGGGGCAGCCTTGACTACAGCAGCTCCAAGGTGAGTGCAGAGGGTAGCACAGTGACCTGCCTGCAGGGACCCCCTGGTTCCCCAGCTGTGCAGGGCTGTGACACCACATGCTATTACAGGAAATGTGCCTGAGGCTGAAGGACTATGTAGAGGGGCCCCTGGGCCACTACGTCGTCAATGTGACTGCCAGCGCTGATCTGTGCAGTCAGACCCTGTGCTCCGGCCGGGGCCGCTGTGTCCGCCAGGAGAACAAGCAGAGCTATCTCCACCTCGACCCCTTCCGCTTTGCCATCGACCTGCACGCCGGCAAGCCCTGGCTGGTGGCTCAGAGCCTGGAGTCTGGAGACGATACCTCCCGGCTGGCCAAGGAGTTCAGCTGCCAGTGCTACGACAAGTGGCAGGGACCCCACTGTGACACCCAGGGCTTTGCCAAGTGACACCCTGGGGATACTGGGATGGACCGGGTTACACCACCTTGTGCCCCAGCACCCTTGCTATGGTGTTGGGAACCTGACTGTGGGGCTGTTAATAAAACCAGTAAGCACCCACAAGCATCTCGTCTTCTGCTGCAGCATGTTTTGGGGTGGGAGGGTTCCCCAGCAACACCAGTGGTGCCTTGCAATGGTGCTAAGGGCTGTGCATTGGGTTGTGGGTTTGGGGGTGTAATGCCTCAGAGAAGCCACAAAAAAAAAGAAGAAAATGTATTGGAAAAGAAATAGAAAGGGGGATGATGGGGAAAGAGGATAAGAAATGGGGAATGATGAGGAGTGACCAGAGTAGAGGTGATGAGGGTGAAAAGATGTGCCTGTGTGGCTGTAGCTGGGGGAGTGTGTTCTCCAGCTCTCACCAGGCATAGAGGAGTAGAGGAAAAACTTCATTTCTTTTTTCCCCCCTGGATGACCATATGCAAACCAGTTCAGCCCTCAAATGATATGCAAGTGTGCCAATTTCTGTAACCCAGGCTGCTGACTCAGCCATACTGATTTTCAAGCAATTGGGGGAAGGCATGAAACACTGATTCCCTGGTCCAGCTGAGATCATCGGGATGTCCAGCTTGGGCTGGGGGAATCACATACTCAGTTCTCTGATCTCACCCTATTTCAGGCAGTCTCTCCATGGTGGAACTGTGCTGCATAGTAGCAGGTGTTTTCTGGGGGTTTGCAAACTACATCCTTAATTTTGATGCTGGTTAATGTAAACCACTGCAAATCATGGTCCATCCTCTGCAGTGCCTGTGCCAAGCCAGCTTTTACCAAGAAATGAATACTTCAGTCAGTGGAAAGGAAGGGCAGCAGGAAGCAGCATCTAGTTTAGATGCTTCAGTGAAATCCTCTTTGCTAAAGTGGACCACAGTAGGTGCTCTTCTCAGAGATTCTTCCTTCAGTCACTGGGGAATGAGTTGTCTACTCTTGATAAAAGCTGAGCCATGGCTCCATGGCACAGCTGAGTCACCTGAAGAGTCCCAAGGATTGTGAGCTTCTGGTCTCCTGGTATGGCTTAGGAGAATGTCTCTGCAGAAGAGAGGACCTCTCATTTGCAGATGTCATGGGGACCAGCATCCCCAGAGCATACACTATGCAACACTCATTCTGGCTTTACTTTCTGGGGCTAAGAACCCAGGCTGGGCTCCTCTCAGCAATGATTCAGATAGTGGCAGATCAGTTGCTTCTGCTTGGTCTGTGGGTGTTGAAAAAGAGTATAGTTACAAAAGCCAGACCCTTCTGCAGTGAATTGAACTGAGGGGACAGCAGTTCTTTGTATTTCCAAGCCAATTGGAGGCAGACAGAACTGGAGGAGCTGTGTGGCCCACTGCCCACCACCCAAATCAGTCACTTCCTTGCATGGATCATTTGTCCTTCCAACATCTCATCCTGAGAGAGAAAGAGGCTCCTGGCTGCCCTTCTGTCCAGTGCCAACAGGAGCTCAGCCTTTGCTGGACCTCTTGGCACTGCTATGACATTGCCACATGCTTGTGCTGGGACATATATCTTGCCAAGACCACTGAAGGACAAGTGGGAATATTAAAGCCACAGAACTAGAGAAGAAGAGTTTTTTACACTGTCCAAACAGAACAGGACAAGTGCAAAAGGTTATTGTTCAGTTTATTAACAACTCTATTAAGCTCTATCTGTAACTATTATACTCTGAATCTATAATTCCATAACTCTATTAGATTCTATATCTATGCCCTGCTCTGGCAGCCTCAAAGCATGGGAGCAGCTGCCAGTGGAGAAGGATGGCTGCTGATGAGCCCAGGAGGTGCTTCAGCCCATCATCTGGTGGCTGTGGTCATTGTGAGTCCAGATGTGTGTGTCCCTGCAAGCTGACCCTCTGGGCTTCTGGAGGGGCCTTTCGTCTGACTCTGCTGCAGCTGTAGCTCTGCGTTTGAGGGCAGCTCTCTTCATGCTTGTTTCCAGCAGCCAGGGATGTGCTCTGTTGAAGCTGAGAGGATCTAAAACCGGCAAAGGAGAATAGTTGCCACCATCCCAAGGCTGGAAAACCACCAGCTACGAGAACTAGGACTCTGCATTGTGAAAGAGGAGCATAGATACAGAAAAGACTCTGAGGGACATTTGGAACCTAAGCTCAGGCTAAAGCATTACCTGATGGTTGAGTTCAGGCATCTCCCCTGGGTTCTTGCCCTCTGGGAGCAGAGCAGGGTAGGATTTTCAAAACAGAACCACTCTGTAGCAAAATACCACTATTTCTCAGCAGCTTCACTGTTGATATGAGCAGGCATTTGGCATTTAGCAGGTGCCACAGGAAGGTTTCAGATTTGGTGCAGCAAGACATGGAGCAAAGACATTTGGAGAAATCAGATTACACTGGCTCTGTCTTTCCCTGTAATGAGTTAAAACTCAGCAGATTTCACTGAACCATATCTTATCTGCATGTCTACTAGACAGAAAAACTACCTTAAACCTGCCTGAACATGGCCTGAGAAGGAAATGAAAATTAGACTGCTCACTTCCCTCCATCCCCTCTGTCATAGAATCACAGCTTGGTTTGGGTGGAAGGGACTTAAAAAGACCATCTAGTTCCAATCCCCCTGCCATGGGCAGTAATGCTGCTCACTAGAACAGTTTGCTCAAGGCCTCATCTAACCTGGCCTTGTACACTTCCTGGGATGGGGCATCCACAGCCTCTCTGGGCAACCTGTGCCAGTGCCTTAACATCTTCACAGTAAATGATTTCTTCCTAACATCTAATCTAAACCTGTCCTCTTTCAGTACAAAACCCATTGCCCATTGTCACTCTTTATCCCTATAAAAAGTCCTTCTCCCTCCTTTTTATAAGCCTCCTTCCAAAAAGACCCTTCTTCTCCACCCACAAATGGCCCTTTGGCGAGGCCTTATTTGCCATGCAGGTCCCTCTCTCCCCCAGGACTATGGTGAGCATTGGTTGCTGTGCAGAGCAGCTGCTGGACCTGTCTGTGAGCAGAAGCAGCTGCTTCCTCTACCAGGAATTCAGGCAGGGAGGCAGATCTCTGGACATCCCACTGCATTTGGATGAATCCATACGCATTCAGCTGTTGCACAAAACTTTTCATTTTCTATGTGGCAAAAACCCTCCGAGGTCCTCTCCCTCTGACACCTGCAGAAACGTCCATTGTCCTTTTCCCTGCGCCACTGCAATGCAGAAGCACTGTGTAACCACTAGGAGAGCTTCTGTAGGCAGCACACATGGATCAGTTCTGGCAACAAAACCCTATGACCACAAAAAGGTTTCCAAACATCCGTTATCAAGATGATCTATCCAGGGCACAACTTCTTTTTCAAAAACCAGTTACTAACACCAAGGTCCTGTCAAGAACTTGGGCTGTGGGCACACCCAGCATTAGTATGGACAACAATGATGATAACCAACACTTGATTTCTGTAGTTACTACAGCCAACTTGTTAATTTCTGATTACATCGAGGAGGATCTGATAATATACCACTGGACACACAATTAGACCTTTGGATTCCCCAGTCATGTCTTTTCAGAAACATGCTCTGGGTTATTACCAAGCTCTTTGCCAAGCTGGAGGCCCCTGAAAAAAATGAGTCATAATTGGATTTTGGCCCAGAATGAATAGTTTTATCTAATTCTTATAGAGATATCTTGGTAAATGTTGGGTGTAAGTATTGGAAACAATATTATCTTAGTATTTTTTTGTATGTGGAATGTGATTTAACTTAGAGAACACTCAAACATGCTCCTCCCAAGCTACAGGGAATCTGATATTTGCCAGGTATTAAATGCTGAAATTGAAAGCAAAGTTCACCTTGCTATTCACACAAAGAAAACTACCATGAATTTCAAGTCGTCTTTTATGCCTGGAAGGGATCACAGCTGTGTGCTTGGAGCTTCAAGTAATTTAATATGCTTCAAGTGTTCAGCTTCTGAATATCTGGTGTATAGTTGGGGGCTGGTCTGGGGTTCTTCTGGGCACAGAATTTTGTGTTAACTAAGCATTTGGGTGGGCATCAGGAAAGAGATGCTTCCTCTGGAGCTGCAGAGGGTCTGACACTGTCAGAAGCCACAGAAGCCCTGCAGAAACTGTCTCTAGCTGCAGGCTTGCAGCTTGCCTGAAAGAAAAGTGAGGCTGGAGAGTGACAGACTTACCTATTTCAGACTTTCCCTTATTTCTTGAAGCAGTTCTTGTTCTTGTTGAAATAATGCAAGCTTGGGCATGAGTGCAGGTTGTCACTTTCAAATAATAGTTTTAAATATGTAAGAGGATTTGTTTTAGTCATCCTACTTATTGTAGCTGTTCCTCTGTCCTTGCCTCTTACAGCATATCTAAAGACACCCAAGACACTGGAATTCATGTAATCTAGCTTGTCTTACTCCAGGCTCTGAGGAATAGAGACTAAAAGACACTGCACATGGTGCCAGCAGACAACTTGGAAGCATCGAACATCTGCTGGGCTGTCTTTTTCCAGGTCTGAAAACCACACTACGCCTTGTACACGTGTGGTGCTCTGCAAATCCACCATAGTGCTGGAGTGAGCCCACACTCTGCAAGAGCATGCTGGAGAGGAGCCAGCAGCAATCCACAGCAGCCCTGGGCCTTTGTGTGGTTCACATTTCTGGCTGCTCCACGTCTCTCGGGTGGGGTGTGCTTACGGTGCTGTCTCGACAGCTCCTGTTTTCTGTGCTGAGGATGACTGAGAAACCTGCTGTGTGCAGAGCTCTGTTGTCCACTGAGTTACAGGGTTCACACTAAATCAATTTCTAGGCTTTTTCCATGTGCTGCTTCAAAAAATAAGGGAACTTTGTCACTTAAAACTGTCCTTACGCTGCCTAATTTTTCATTGCAACAACTGTATTTTTTTTGTTTAGGTTGTTTAAGCCATATAGCTCCACAAATAATTTACCAT